ATCAACTGGGAATTTGTACTTGTCTTCACTGCCTGGCTCTGCGTTGTTTACACAGACTTTCCGATTACAGCTTCCTTCATTATTTAGGAGGCGTCCATAAGGCTTCAGCCGTAGAAAGCTGCACTAAGTCAATGAAAAGAGCTACAATTAGCAAATGAAATTCCCTTTTAATTCTCTATGCATTCAGGAGGTCCCTCTTGTTGAATACTTACAAACGACTCACAGTGTCTCTCATTCGCTTTTGTTTTGGGGAAAGTGGCTGCTCTTTTCCTCAGTTTTAAAGGTTATCTACAGTATATGTAACAGTCCTGGATTGCAGTTTTCATTATTTCCTTAATAATAAAGGAATATGATCTCCAAATACTTTGAAAATATTTTCTTCAGTATCTTATGGCATTCGCGAGCGTGTATTCTTGTTTTTCTCAGTTCAGTTGAGAAATCGCTCTCTTTCAGCTGTCCTGAGGCAGTAGGAGACAAACAGGTTACTCCAAATACCTGAAACTCCAATGGTCCTAAGGCAAGCACCTTCTAAAAAGCTATGTTTCTACTTCATGCTGTGAAATCTTTTTTTTTTTCAGGTAAAACAAAAGACTGGTTTTAAGTTCTTAGATTTATCAGTAACAAATTAAACTCAAAGAAGACAACAAGGGAACCTGATACAAGTATTCAACATTCCCAAAAGGCATTGAGAAAAATCAACCCAGTGGGTTTTTTCAGAATTGATAGTGAAATTTGTAACAAAGTTCACAAGTGGAAACTACATGTAAGCACACTGAAAACTGAGAACAGGAGACAGAGTATAGAACAAAGATGACACATTATTTAAGCTGATATCCTTATATCAATAAGATACTACCAAATGGCCTCCTCTTGTTTGTAACTATTGTAGTGTTTTTATTACTCATACAGTATATTCATTTTTATATCTCAATCATATACATCTCGCGCAAAACCTGACTATAACCTAGCAGTTCATCCTAAATTCTTAGATTCTAAGATTGCATTTTTTTACTCACTCATCTTTTCCTGTGTGTAACTAAACTCTTGCTGTGCCCAGTTAATTCAAAACAATTTCATTCAAATGTTTTTTTCCCTGATACAAGACTTTGCTCCAACACTAAAGTTTGGTAAAGCACAAACAGTAATTGCACAAAAGATCCATTAATCATCCATCCATTATAGGATGGTAAGTTTCCATTTCTGGTAAGTGACACAGCAACTCATAGCATTCACAGAAGCTGAAGATGAAAGATGGATCAGGGACTTCTCCATGGACAGAATACAAGACCATCACAGAGTCTAACAGACACATACAGAAGCAGATCACATATAAGTGTCACTTAAGTGAAACATGTCTCTGAGAGGAAAGAGGATCACATGGACAAAGAGAGAACATACTGTATATATATATTCCACATAAAAGACACCCTAGGCCATAATCAAACTCTGGATCCAAGTGATCTGAGGCAATAGCACTAATTTCCATGACATGCCTAATATAGTAATCTGTGTCTTTATTGCACTGTATAAAGCACATAAAAAAACTTGCCTGTTTTGACAGCAGTGTGCTCAGAGGTCCTAACTATAATTTCATTTGACAATCCCATTGTGTATTACAGGACTTGACGTTTTACCTATGGTTAAAAGGAGATTTCTGTTGTCTCCTGTCACTGTGCTTTAGTACATCTGTATGTCTGAGTTACATTGTAGGTTTACGGCAGGGAGTGACAAGGAGCACAATTTCTTGTACTGACATGCTGCACTGGTAATTTAGGTTATAAATTAAGTAGAGCTGGGACTGATCGACATGAGATGGCCAACAGTCAGTACAACCAGTTCCAGTTATTCTGGCTTTACTCGCTGGTCCACAAATAATGAGTCATTTGTTGAACCAGACTAGTCGTATCACTTTTGTGAGTACTGATTGAGATGTTGGCTAATTACATGTTCTTGCCATATAGAGTAACTCTGAAACAAAACAAAGAGGAGCACTTTTTCTGTTTAAATAGTGTAAGTTCTTAAATAAAAGTTAAATAAATGCATTTAAGTGCTAAACAGAATCTATTTACCGTACAACACAGTGCACAGATGTAATTCATACCCATTATTTTGACCCTAATAAGAAAAGTAATTTCCAGCTGCAGCTTCACTAGACCCACATCCGAACAACAGTGCAGAATGTCTTCAGTCCTGCTGGCCTCACTGTTGTTGTTCTACAGAATTAACAAATAATTAGTTCAACTGAGTAATTAAGATCCTCAATGTAAAACAAAAAAACAAAACAAAATCTGGATCAGATTTCCAACCTCCTCTGGAAATGGCCTCCCAGCAGTATTGAGGAATAACTGATCTGAGGTACAAGCTGGAAGAGACAAGGGAAGGGAGGTTTCGTGAACTATGTGGCCTTGATGTGCTAAAATGTTAGGGCTCGCTGTAGTGGTAAGGTTTTAATTCTCCTGCACATTGCTGGGATTCCTGGAGCGGCTCCGTGCCAGGAAGGACAAGCAGTTCACTGGTTCTTTCCCCTCCCCTTCCTTTTTCTGGAGGGTCTCCAGAAGCCAGTGGAAAATCTGAGCGGTACTTTGTTTGGCTTCCTTCCCCGTGTTCCTCACAGTGCTGCTAGTTGCACCGTTTCTCCAGGAGAGGAACAATGAGGAAAGAAACACACTGACTTTTAAAGTATATAGAACAGCAATATTGTGAAACCAGTCAAAGGGTAGGTTTTCACAATCTTGTTTCAGTTGGTTTTATTTTTCCCATAGGAGCAGTTTTTATCAAGCATCATTGCTTCACTCATTCACTGTTCTTTACAGCTTTAATGTTACCCCTGTATCCTGTAATCTCTGAGTGCAGCTGGTGCTGAGGACTCTCACTATTAACATTACAACAGTACCATACTGTAGGTCTGCTCCAGGCCTGTGTGTAAAACCACCACAGGCACAATCCATTCAATCACCACAAGCCAGTAGTGCTCCCAATGCAGAAACATTAAGGTATTCCTTAGTACACAATCACTGCTTTTGAATCACATCTGTTAAACTGTAAATGCATTATTTAGACTGTACAAACCGGTACAAATAAATTACTGGAGTGCATTAAAGGTAGAGTCTAACAGTTGGATTCTGAAGTATGAATGTTCCAAAGTGTAAGTCTGTGTGATCCCCAGTCTAAAAATGACCTAGCCTTCATGGGAAGGTGCAAAAACTTGAATCTAAAGCTTTACTATGTTAACAATAATAATCCTTTTTTAATATAAAGTGACAGAGCAGCTGCAGAACAGCTGAGATGTATGGTGGACTTTTCCCTTACGCATACAAACCAAATCATGGCTGGCATTTTCACAAGGCAAACAGGGAGCCAAGCTCAGCATGTGGAAACTGACAATGATTTCAGATGGTCCATTTAAGAAGATAGAAGAAAGGACAGAACAGACTGTTATAGCACATCGTATCTTAACTACATTCCCCAGAAAGTTGTGGGGAATGATTTGCCACCTGACTAAATGGGAGTAGATAGATGATCAGGTAACAGTTAAAAACCAGGAAGGAGCTGTAAATCTCCGATTTCTAAAGCCAGCGTCACACTACACGACTTTTCCTAGGATTTTCAGTTGTAGCCTTTATTTACATAATAGTAAGAAAATCACAGCGAGTTGTAGAGTGTCGCAGCGCACGGCTGTTACCGTGAGTTGTGTAGTGTGACACCCCTAGCAACTCAGTCATAGCGCTCTTAATAGCCCATGCGACTCTCTGCGACTCGCTACGGTGGGTGTCTGCGGCAGTCAACAGCCAGTGAGCGCTCATCCGGAAGTACAATGCATACAATGCCCACAAACAGTGAAGTGAAACTTTGGAGCCAGCACAGATGTCTGTTCGATGTTTCGTGTTTGTTGTTCATTTACTTTCGTACTGTTCTCCTCCTCTTATTCAGGTGTGCTCCACATTGATTGGCTGCCAAAATGAGGCGACCTTGCAGTACTTTCGCGGCACAATATGAGACTAATAATAATAATTGCTTACACTTATATAGCGCTTTTCTGGACACTCCACTCAATTCGCTTTACAGGTAATGGGGATCCCCTCCACCACCACTAATGTGCAGCCCCACCTGTGTGATGCGATGGCAGCCATAGTGAGCCAGAACGCTCACCACACATCAGTTAGATTTGGAACCATGATGAAAAGTTGGGAGAATCATGTAAATTAGTCACCCCTTGTGACTCCTAGTCGTATAATTTGACACCCTCTAGGACAGAAAAGGCAGTGAGATTGAGGAGCTGCAGTTGTTAAATTTGACATGCCCTCCAACTAGAAGTCGTTATGCCAGAGTCATGTAGTGTGACGCTGGCATAACAAGAGAGCAGAGCCTCTATAATGTGCTGCAGTAGAGGGAGGAGGGAATGAGGAAGTGACTGACCAACAACTCCATGAACATAAGAAATTTACTTAGAGCTTCTTTAGTTTTGTGTTTTTTTACCTTGCCGATGATACAGATACTGTACTTTCTATGACACAGCACACCTGGAAAAGTCACAAGACCTGTCTAAAACTAGGCAGCAATATAAGATTCAGAGATGCTTCAGCTAGTCAGCTATCAAAGTCAGCATACCCTGATGGAATACCATCACAGAAAATCTGCTAAAAATAAAAGGGATACCATAGAAATTTAAAGCTAGTCCGCTGCCATACACTAGGCAAATTGTTTAAATTGAACATTATGGGATTGTTGGATTTAAAATCAATTATCAATTATATCACTGCAACACCAATTTTGTGGTTTTGGAAATCGAATGTTTACCACGTGCATAAGATTTAGTCCAAACTTCAACCCTCACACTAACCCTTGTGAATATAGCATTACCAGAGTTCAAAGGTATTCGGGTGTTCTTCACAGGCTTTTCAATTTTACAGAATTTGCTGCCATTAGCTGAAAGTGACCAATTCTTCTGTTTAGCACTGTGCACAATTATTCATGATGGTTTTCGTCATTCCCGTTTTCAGGAGGAGAACGAGATCCCGTCCAGCGTTTTCGTGAAGGACCCAGTCCCCTACCCCCGGGGGCCTGAGGCTGAGGAGGAGCCACCCACAGTGGATGCCAACCGCTCTCAGGAGGAGACCCTGCAGACAATCAGCCTGTCTTCCGACGAGGAGCTGGGCCATGAGGATGAGGAAGAGGAGGTAGGGGGAGTGGGTCAGCCTGGCGAACGGCTGGAGCAGACACGCGCGGAGAAGATCAAGCGCTCCAGCCTGAAGAAGGTGGACAGCCTGAAAAAGGCCTTTTCCCGCCATAATATAGAGAAAAAGATGAGCAAGATCAGTACCAAGATAGTCTCCCCAGAGAAGCGTGAGAAGATCAAGAAAAGTCTTACTCCCAACCACCAGAAGAATCCCAGTGCCAAGAGTTCTTCCTTCAAGGTTTCACCACTCACCTTCAATGTTAAGAAAATGCGGGACGGCGATACTGTTCCGAAAGCCGAGGAGTCTCCCTCAGCTGTTGCATCCATTGAGCTAGAACCCCTCAGTAGCCCAGACGAAGAGGCCCCCTTTACTGTGGTGCACTCTCACTTGGCCCCAGCGGTTGAAGAGGGGAAATCTGCATCTGACTCCGTGGAGAAGGAGCAAGAGGAGGAGGAGCTGCCCAGCCCACGACAGAGCAGTGTGGCAACTGGTGGCCTGGAGGCAGAGCTCACCATTGTGGAGGATGATGACCCCCAGTACACCCTCTCCTCCACTCTCCCACATGACGAGCTCCACCACCAAGAAGAAGAAGCCTGCAGGAAGGCGGAAGAAAAGATGACAGAGATCACCTCAGATCAAACCCCTTAATATCCTTCGATGAGTCTTGCCCTGACCCTCTACACATCCACACACCCCTCATTCTTTTCTCAGGGCCAGGAATAAAGATTCCTATCTCTGAGAACATCCCTGAGCTACAAGATTCCAACATTCCTTCTACAGGACTTTTCCCACCCAATCCCTCCTCACAAACGCCCAAAACGTTTCTGAACTCTGAAGATTCTTCTTTCAAAATCACTATTCCCCCTGACCCATACTGTTATTTGTAATCATGTTGTCCTAAATCCAGATTGCTTTGGTCTTTTGCAAGATCTGTTTTATAACTTAGTAGCTATTTCTCTATCAATACATTTAGTGTGAAGAAGAGATTTGATTCTGGCACAAGTGATCTGTATTGTGCACTTTCATGTTTATTTTCCCTTGATCCAGGATTTTCTGACTCATACCCTCCGGCTTGGATTATGTGGGAAGCTCTGCCTCTGTGTTAGGAAACAGCTATACTGAGCAGCAGGAAGGACAGTTGTTGAGGGCAAAAGTTAAGGGAGGGTGAGTGCAGCGAGAGAAGGAGAGACATTAAGCTGTGAATCACGCTTTAGGCACACAAGCTTCAAAGCTGATCTTAGCAGCTTGTTTTGAACAACCACTTAGCAAAAAACTATTATAAAACGGTGAGTGGGTAGACATTCATTAAGGCATATAGGCAGAGACCTTATGCACAGCACACAGGCTCAGAGCAGGCAAAGGGCCTTGGATGACTATCTTTTCAACCACTCCTTGTTTGGCAGAGTTTATTTCTGAACACATTCTATCAAACGTAAGCTTTGAGCCTGAAAGAAGAGTTTACTCTATGTAAAGCCTAAACTTTTGTCATTCAGCCCAACACACAACATTTGAGTTTCAGCTAAACCCAATAAAATGTTTGTTTAGGATTTCAGAAAATAATTCTTCTCAGTCTTTAGCTAATCTTGAGAGGTTAGCTGTGGCAATCCATTCTAACAGTAGAAGTATAAGACAGACGAATTATTGTTTTTTTCTAACATCCATCCATTTTACAATTGCTTCATCCAATTTAGTGTCGTGGTGGAGCCGAAGCCTATCCTGAAAAGCAACAGACGCAAGGCAGGATACACCTGGATGGGACACCATTCCATTGCAGGGCAGATACAGATACAGACAAGCACACACTCACAACTAGAGCCAATTTTCTCTTTTAAAAAATCTTTTTTTTTTCCTGAATGCACAAATGTGGGCCTTCCGCTCCATCAATATGTCTTCCAGCATATGACCAACAACTCCACAAAATTCTTCTGACAGCAAAACAGGATTCAAACTTATCTACAAATCTGCCTTACATTGCAATCAAGGATACCAGAGAAAAAACAACAGAAAACCAGCAAAACTACTGATAGGTACTAATCAATACACTGAATGGCAGAATCCACCTCAGGCATTAAGAATGCAACTGCATTGTGCGTCAACACACAACATAACATCTAGTCTAAACAGAACTGCAAACTGAGAGACACTTCATAATAATCTTGACAAAGTAAAAAGAAAAAGAGACTCACAGATGTAGGTTTAGTTTGCGCCTGAAACATACTGTATTGTATGTATAACTGCTGTAGATAATTTTCAAATAACTTTGAAGCAGTACATAAACATAAAATGTCTTCACAAAACTGGCAGAATGGAATTACACTTCAATACAATGCCCCCCCTTATCTGAACACATTAAAAAAGCAAATACAGCAATCTTTTTAAAATAAAGTACATCATCAATAATCAGGTAAAAAAAAAGAAGTACAAAATTACACCAAATATAGTACAGAAGTGGGGGCTCACAAACCATAAAATCTATATCTGAAAAAGGGGTTAAATTAGCCGGTCTTAATAGTTGAAAGATGTATCAGATCATGCTGTCAGTTTCTGCCCTGGCCAAATGTAACCTGGCCATATTTCTTTCCATAAGCACAACTGCCGCAGTTAGAGCACCAGCCTGTGAAAGCACACCTGTCTCAACATCAGAATACAGCAGCTGATTATAGCAAACGATCACAGTTTCTCCATTCACAGCAGGTAAAGGAGATCGAAAAAGCACAGCAGTGAAAGCGCCGTAGATGTCATCGAGAACATTAAACTATGAGAAAGATTGAGATCAACTGGAAGTCATAGGGCCCTATCATGCTTCTTCAGCTGTTAAGGGTTTATTCATTAAACACTATTAACAGAATACCTCTAAACTGAGGTAGTGAGCTGCAGAAGGAAGGCCCAGCTCCTCCTTGCAAAGCCTGCTCCCTTCACCATTACACAGCAGACTGAAAACCGCAGGTCTGAGATTCACCTGTCCCTCTGGTTACACATAGGAGCAGAGAGGTGAAATGGTTAAACAGTTCTTTTGTAGTTGTGAGCAAGGCTGCACTGTTATGGATTTAGCTCTAGTTTTATGCGTGGAGAGGTGGGCACACGTGATGGAATGCAGAGAATCTTTTATTTTTGTTAATTTAAAAAAAGGCATCTCTTCCAACTATTTTTCAATTTGTCAAAGTTTCATTTTGCCAAATAATTGGTAAGGAAGAGGGATGAGTGCATTCTTCTACAGGTAGGATTGATGGCTTAGTTTCCATTAAATGTTTTGATTTTGGGGGGCGTCAGATCCAGGTGTGCTGCTCTTAGGCAAGCCTCTGGGCAACAGCTCAGCAGAGGCATCTTTCAGTCAAGACAAGACTGACTGATAAAGGGAGCAATACTGGGAGGGGTAGAGAGAGAGAGAAATTGAGAGAAGACATTGGAGGGTTTTGAACAGAGATTTTCTAAAAAACAGCTTTGGAATCCAACACATTTCCATATCACACATACAGAGCTGAATCGTGTTTACAAAGCATCCAGCGCAGTGTAGATTTGTAAACTTCAGTGGGTAAAAAATAAAAACTCCAAACTATTCACCGTTAACAAATGCTGGCATGTCAATGTAGCAAAACCATTTATTTACACCCTAAGATTTTTATTTTCAGTCCTTCTAGATTTCTATGTTTGAGAAAAAAAACTTCAGAGGGAACTGAGCAGCATGCTGTGAATAAAGCTTTATAAACATAGACGTGCATTTCTGCGACTCCTCAGAGCTGCATCACAGTAGATATGGAGATAGATAAAACCATCTTTACCTCACATACATCGAAGAAACATTTGCCTCTAAACCAATGCAACACATCTTTTCCCCCCTCCCATATAATTATTTCTTAATTTCTTTGCCTTCCCCCTCACTGCCAGAGATGTCAGACAGAGAATACTTGTCCACAGTTAGCGATGTGAAGGAAAAAGTAACCAGGCTGTGTCATGGAAGGTAATTCAATTTGAAATGACTAACCTGCCCAACTGGTTTAATAGCTGATAACTAAACTCCAGGAGAGAGGTAGAAAGACTTTGAAGTACGTAGTTGAGTGTGAAAATTAAGTGATGTAGAGTTTCAAGGGGTCTTAATCTGACATGAGTTGACAAGTTTTATTAAAGATAAGACAACTTTGTACTCAGTGCAAAGACACCATATGCTTTGGACCTACCACATGTCATGTTACATAATAGATCAAATGCTTTAAAAAGTGTTAGAATATCACGATGGATTATATCATAGGGATTTTTATATGAAACTACTGAAATTATATTTTCTTTAGGGGAGTTCTATAATATTGACCCAGTGTAGGATTTCCCACTTTGTGTTATGAGTACAGAAATGTGTGATTTTGTTCTAAAGGGATGGCTTTTCTTAATTTTTTATTTTACTTTATCTCACAAAAATCAGTGACATGTATGTTGTTTTTCAAGTGCTAACCTTGCAGATGACACAGTAATATATATAAGTATATATTGTCTTATTGATTTTATTAATAGTTATCAATGATACCAAAGAGTTTCTTACCATGGAAGATTCACTGCTACTGTGCTATACTGCCTTTCTGTAATCCATTGCATTGTATTAAAACATTTTTTCAAAAGTATAAAATAAAGAATTTGCACAATTTTTCCATGTTTTTTTATAATTCTTCTAATACATTTTGAAGATCAACCCCCCAAGGCATAAAAACAAAATCAGTCCTTCCCCAAGTACAGGAACTACCTCTGTTGAAGAACGACTGTTAGCCCTCATATATCCACTGCTATAGCTCCAATCCAAACAATACCTGGACATATAAGCTATAGCATACTCTCAAAGATGATTGGCATCACAAAATGTTACCAACACTCCCAAACTCTAAAGAAACCAACTTCTACACAGTTGCATAATGCAAAGTCAGACCACTAAAAGCGAGTCTCCAACAAAATACCCAAAGAAGGGATTGAATTTTGGGGGAGGGTAGGTGGGGCTGTATTTGATGTGAAGAATATAGCTGACAAAGCAAAGAAACACAACAGGAGCATAACAATGGGATAGTTGGTTCCTGACAGAACACCATTAAGTTCATCCCCAAAAAAACAGAAGCAGCTGCCCTGCCTTTCCAGCTAGTGTTGGGAAGTTGCTTGGCTGAAACTCCACCGAGCTGAATAGCAGGAAGAATAATGACACTCAAGAGCCCTGGATTCCTTTAACGTTCAGTATACATTAAACAAAAGGTAAATGCATACCAAAACTGATACTGAAACCACCAACATAAGAACTGTCAAGTTTCTAGTTTGCTAAGAATGTACTTTTATTCCAAAAGGAACTATATTATAACTTTGTCAAAAAAGTCTACTCCATATGAACAGTTTCACAAACACTACACTTTGAAAACATGGGAACAAGCCTGCAGTCTTCCTCACACTTATATGTGCTGTGGGTTTACCAAGGAACACATGACAATTCTGCAGCGAGAGAGGGATCCGCCCCACTCAGCATACCCACATTCAAGCTTGCAAAAAACTACTAATATCTGATGCTGTGGCGCCATCAGGTGGGGGAAATCAGACTACCGCAAGGAATGTAAAGTGCACGAACTGTGAAATTCAGTTCCTCGTTTTGGACCTTAAAACACAGCTTCCTGATCTCACTACTTTGATGAGTTACATATTTGTTTTAAAATGTTAATCTGCAAGTCTGTACAAAACTTTGATGTCTCACTCAAATGATGTACTAAAATGTACAAAAAGGTGTAGCTTAAGAGCCCAGTTTCAGATTCTCTCTGGACTTGCCAGTTCAGCTCTCTGCTTGTTTACCGGTTCTTCCTGTACTCTGTTAAGGGATGGTATATGCCCTCTTCAGTGAACACTTTTATGGAATCCAAAATTACACATCCTATGTAGGGAGGGTAAATGAGAGGGTTTATCGGAAAGCCTGCTATTATTCTACAATGAGAAAACTCTTACTTCCTGTTGGAGTTTTGTAGGTAAGTTAAAAAGATGTCATTTATAATTACCACACTGAGTCTGTAACTATGGGCCTGCAGTTGCAAAGGATCTCCAGCAAAGTAAGAATGTCAAATAGGATCAGGATGACCAATATGTTGATTTGGGCTTTGAATTTTCACATTTTTCTGCACAGATGCATTACACATGCTGTGGTTCATGAAGTACAGTACAGAGGAAACACTGACATCTTGTGGTGCAAAGTATTTTCACAGAAAATACTGTCGACAATACTGTTATTCTGTTGAAGCCAAGGACAAGAGTCAATGTGACTTTTTATCCAAAGGGTTGGGGAGTATGGAAGAAGTTACCCAGCCATGATGTAGGAACAGATACTGGTGTTGCTTCCAAGAAACAGTCAGATGAAATCCTTGGATCAAGAAACTAGCCTTTACCTGAACATGCAAACAACTGGAGCACACATTTTTCAGTATGGCTATACACTTTTCTTTCCTCACAATCAATATGAGAAAAAATTCTGGGATTTCAAAACAATTCTTGCAAATATACTTAACTAGAAATCGACACTAAGAATTTAAAAATGCCATTAGAAGTGTTAAGTTTTGAGAAATCTAAAACTGGCTGTCCACCTGGCCTGTACATAACCATAGCCATCACTACTGCAGGCATAAGGCAGGGAGATGCTTACATTTTAGTGCAGCAGTACACTACCTTGGAGGAACGATAATGGTTTTCATTCCATCTGAACTCTAGATCTGCTAAACTGAAAAACTGCTTACTTGTTTTGTTTTGACTTTTAAGCTGCTTCCTAAGTAAATAATATAAAAAATGTCCTACTTCAAGTGTAGTTTCCAACAATTAAAGCACAGAAATAAATGCAGCCTCACTTCAAATTACTTGACATTATTTCTGATTAAAAGGCTCTTACATTAATTAACAGACAAAAAGGAATGACTATCGGACACTATCACAATTAGCATTTTCCTTCTATAGTGGACTGATTTTAGACATTTCCAGAGCGTAGCTCTGGTACTCAGAAAATGGGGCAGCGTTTAACTTAAACCTTTTAAGGACAGAAATCAAAATTACAAAGTGCAAATAGAGATCAATTAGCCTCTGATGAATAAAACTGGAGAAAAAAAAAACAGAAGAGGTAGTATTCCTCTTAGGAACTAGCAGTCTAGAGCATGGTATAAGACTTTACATTCTTGTCTATGGTTTAGTATAAAAAAAACTTAAGGTACTGAACCATACATGAACAATTTGAGGCTAGAAGGAAAGGTTTTATGTATAATTATTCCAACTACTAGATTAACAAAATCCAGGTGTTGAACAAATGCCAAGAGCATTGACCTCACACTGGGACTCAACATCCAGCTAAATGGACAACTTTTTTCTGGGAAACCTACATACCAAAATGGGAAGAGCAGATCGTAAGTGCTGGTGTAACTATCAGTGGGATCGCTATCCTGACCTTATAGTGTATTCAGGCCACATTGAAAACTGTTTGGTGTGTCTGTACAAGCAGCAACGTGAAAAAGGGGCATTAAGAAATGTGAAGACAGGTCGCCATTCCTGGCACAGCACACAGGCGTCGGCACACCATCCACCCCTGCACGGCTAACTGCCCCTCACCAAAACTCCCACACAGGAGCGGGGCAGGGCAACAGCCATGGCACTGGAGGACAGAAAAGAACAGAAGGTCAGCAGAAATGCCTGGAATCGTTTTGGTTGCGGCTTTATTGGTTTTGCCCCCTAACGTAGCCTAAACTGAAAGTGGAGAAAAAAAAAACAAACCACCTCTACTTTTAACACGGTCACTTCTGGTAAAATTTTGGTCAAGAAGAGGAAAAACTTAAGCAGCAGCTTCGAAATTCCATTTTAAACAAAAACAAAATTCACAAGTTCAAGCATTTCATTTAGAGAATTTTAAAAATCCTGATGAAATTTACAGCAATAACCTTTCAAGGTTCATGATAAATTAAAAGACAAAAAGTGCATTAAGTGTTCAAGTAGGGTGTATAGTTTTAGCCAAGGGTGTGTAGGGGTGGGATAGTTCAACACTGGCTCTGGCAGCAGTAATGGGGCAGAGGGAGGCTGGTTTGGCGCGTTTTCCATATCTCATCTCATCTCTTTGAGGCCCGACGGGGGTCTCTGCCGTTGCTGATGGTGACGGACGGTTTAGAGATCCCAGGTGGAGCCCCCGGGGGAGCCGAGGGAGAGCCATTGCCTGGAACACGCCCGTTAGCTCGCCCTGCACCCCCAAACGAGGAAGCAGGATCCCTGGAATTAGGAGCAGGGCTGGCGGTAGAGTACGACTGCTGAGAACCATTTCCTGAGTGGGGGGAAGGGGGGAGGGGGGAAGAGAGACAGAGAAAGGTGGGGGGTCAGGATCCCAAACATAGCTTTAAAAGCCTATCTTTTAAGGCAACTTTATACCTCTAAACTCTTGGAACAAGGTCATTCTAAAATAAAAAGCTTTACACATTCAGTAACCAGAAATACTGGATAGTACTGATGCATTTTATATTGTATTTCAGTTACACACTTTAGCCTAACCATAAAGAAACATTAAAAACTATTTCAACCTCAGATTTCACGGCTATTGCAACAGCAAACCAGATCTAGCAAGATATCCACATCGCTCTATTCCAACTTTAAGATGTAGTGACGTGCACTTGTTCCCAGCTAAAAAATGAATATACCACCCTTACAGCAGTCAGGCTTACATAAATACCACCCACCTGTCTGCACTGGGGTACCTGAATTTGCAATGTTGGTGGGGGAGTTACTCCTCTGCTCAGCTTTGGCCTTCAAGAGAAACGGTACACATTACAGAGTGCCATGGGCACAGTTTATTGCCGACACTAACACACTCTAGCCATTCTCTACACTACAAATACAGATGTATAATGTATAAGCCAGTGATTTCCTAAATCGCAGTTCTCCCTAGATAAGAAGAGATAATTTCATAAGGCAGTATGAATAGACAGTCAATTTTCTGGGGCTATTTAAATCCAGACCGGACACCGACATTCCCATAATTATGAAGCATCTTCTCGGGTTGACTGGTTGGTATCACAAACCATAATGAAAAGCAGTAAGCTGAAAAAACAGACTTGGTTTTACAGTATCTTACACCACATGTCCATGCTCCTGGGTGAGTCTCATGGTTCTGCACAGCAGCAGCTCCGCTACACTACCTTATTCAGCTCCAGGGAAGTATTATGTATTGAAACTGTTCCTAAATTAAACATTGGCCGTTAGACCATGAATAACCGAGCACAGATAAAGAGTATTGTTGTTTTTTTTTTTAAATAAATCCAGCTGTGTTGACCATGATTTTTAACAGAGGTATGCTGAAAAAAGCATGCTTTTTCATGATACTGACCTTTGAGTCTATGATGAGCAAGCAATCTATAGAACAAAACTTCAGTTATTGCTTATAATAAAAGGTCAAGGAAATGGCATAACAATTATATTGTGTCAGTAACATGTTCCTACATTTAAACTCTCAAGCAATATATACTAACTACATAAAAGTGATGACAGGACTTGCGGTGACAAAAGGCATCAGCGCAGGACTGGAGAGATTAAGGGGTGCCTTTTTTTATCCCGCAACAAAGAGATGAGCCGATTATGTTTTTGCAGCAGGCCGATAGCAACAACAGCCTACGAAGTGAGTTTTCATGATAATTTTCCAAATGAGGGTGCTGGAGATATGAGAGGAATGCAGCAAGCGGTGATCATTTGACTGCTCTTTGTACAGACTTGCTGGAGGGAAAGAGGGAAGTGTAAGAATTTCCACAGTACTGATAAACACCAAGGCAGCCCTGCCTTCGAGGGAACAGTTACTGCCCAAAACTTGGAAGATATTTGCATATTGAAAATGCATGCCATTTGCACAAATGTAAAAATCAGATACTTTCTTACTAGTATGCAGTATTACTAGTTACTATTATTTACTTACTAGTAGTAACATTGTATGTTAAGATCGATATTAACTCTTGTGAAAGCCAGCATCATTACAAACAGCTGTTACTCTCTCTTGGGAAGGACTAGAAGCTGGCACCATTGTGAGCATCATATAACTTCTAGAATTTAATGCCTGCTTGAATTAGGCAACAGAGCCATGTATAGAAAGAAAAAAGGAGTGCAACCATTTCAGACACAAAAATTGCAAAGAGCCCTGCAATACAGACAACTGTGTCTGGCACCCCAACTAACACAAACCCAAGCTATAAACTGCCACCTGCCTTAGCATCTGTACTTACTGCTAAATACTTACTGCTAAGTGTTCAGTTATTGCTATAGCTGTCTTTGTTCACTCCTGGGCTGGGTGAAAGGTCAACTACATATTCCCTCTGTGCAGATGGTGCTCATTTAAATATGGTAAAGATGTATAGGAAAGCCAACATCACCACAGGACGAAGGTATAACAACCTTCCTCATGCGTCACTGCCCATAGAGTGGGGAGTGGGGGCAGCAGGGATACTCACTGTCTTGTTCTGCATGTTTGTCTGGGCCAGGAACTCCTGATTGGGTTCGCTGAAATTGGGCACCTCTGAATACACCATGCAGAACCTGCCCAGAAGAGGAAGAGCAGGACACCACCATGGTTAGAGGAGCACCAAACTGACCAAGTCGAGCCTTTTCATTGGGAAACTGCTTTATAGTGGACTTATTACCTACTTCATTTTGTTATAGAATTGTATAGATTTTTGCAATAGGCATAGTATTCTGTGACTGTGAACTTATTACGTTTCTGTGAAATGGCCTCTGCTGGATAAGATAAGATAAGAAACTTAGCATATAAACTAGCTTTTAAGATGAAATGTGATCTTGAATGGTACCTCCTAGCCACTGGGACATACACATTCACCATGCGAAAACCTAATTTGAATCTTAAGAACAACTTTGGAAAGGTGCTACAATGAGCTTCTATTTAAGAACATGATACATTCGGTGGGTAAGAATGCTGCCATGGTTACTGAACAAGAAAATATAGATCTCTGGAAAGATGGATTCATAAAGATAAGCTATAGACCTCACACAAATCACAACCAATAATGCAATAAAATACATAATTTACAAAGCAGAATAAGCCAATAAGCCACTGGGCACTGCCCAGGGTAGGGTGGAATCAGCTGAAGCTGCCTATGGCCTCAGCACTTGCAGTGCTGTCAACGAGGGATGCAGCTCTCCCACAGTTGGCATTAAATCTTCAGCATGGAGGTTTTGCTGCCCATCACGAGTCAAGTGAAGGTGGCCTGGTCAGAGACGTCTGCCTACACTTCACTCTCTCCTGGGAAGTCATAGGATTCACAGCGGTACTCACTCCCCAATCTTCTGCAAGTCACCCCCTCGACCAGTGTACAGCGTCAGGCATCCCTTCCACATGGAGGCGTAACTGCAGGTGAGAACAGAGGCACGTTAGGACTCAATACCGAATACAGCACTTTTACAAAAAGTGCTTGTTCAACCAAGAAAGCCACACACTCCCGGCTCCTACCTACAAAGCCAAGGACACGCAAGACTACATTTACTGTAAGTAAAGGAAAAAATAAGTAATTTGGAAATAAGCTATAACAATGTTGGTACAGTTGGGTACTCAGTAGGAACATCTAGTGCAGATGAACCACTTCTATGTTAGAACTAGGAACAGGGTGTACTAACCTGTTTTGCATCAAGTCCTGGCCTAAGCATGATGGCACTTGTGAATTTTGTAAATTAAAAAGACATCAACACAAAGCATAGGCTCCTCTGATGAATCATAAGATTTAAAGTTACTGCTCCTAAAGGTTATATGCAGTGAGTAAGCCCGACCAGGATATTCAATACATGATTCATCAAAGTCTGCTTAAGACATGCTTAAGAAACAGCTCCTTCAGCTGAATAATGTTTCTCAAGTAACAACTGAAGTCAACTGCATCAGCACAGCATCTGCTCTCCTGCCACTAACATTCTGAAGCCCTAATAGTGGGATATACGAGTTTGGTTTTTTGGGGCTGATAATACACTGGACTAGGTGTGAAGAAACTCAGAATCAGGTGTGCAAGAGGTTACATACTAGCTGTAGGTCAGCTGTTCAAGCCAGGATGGAAAATGAGTGACAAAAAGGTGCTTACAAGAAGCAAGACGAAGGGCATGTGAGCAATGAGGAGCTGTGGGCAGGAAGGGGGTCAGGGAAACCACTGGGCACAAATAAGACAACAGAACCAGCAACAGGCAAGTGAGAAAAACCACAGGAGGGCTGGGTGGAAGAACACTGCCTCGACAGAGCTGCACAAGATTAGCGAGCGAGCAGGTGGGTGCCAGGCAGGCCAGAAGCCAAGATGTGGGGGCCCTTCTTACCCCCTCGTAAGGCGGATGATATCTCCAGGCTGTATGAGGCTCCCCAGCTCGTCCCACACAGAGATGGTGATGCTCCCTGTCTTGTCTGCCACTTTGCAGGACCGCACCTCATGGCCATCTTTTGTTTTTGTCACCCGACCTGCATGTGGGAGAAACAGGACACATGGCAATTGAAAAGTGTACCAAAAATACCCACTAAATACCAATGAGTCAGCGTGCAATCAACTCTTCCGGCAGCTATTATTAATAATTTGGCTCGTGCTTTTATCCAAAGCTTCTCTGATCGACCAACGTTTCCTATATATTTCTTCAAAAACATTTTGGTACTCATTTGCCAGACCAGCCTGGACAAACTACCTTGCTCAAGGGTGAAGCAGCAGTATCCCCATTGGGGATTTTAACCCGTGACTCTCTGGCAAGAAAACCAGAGCTTGAACCACTACCCTTAAATCTTTAACACTCAAATGATGCCATACCTGTTAAAAAAATTCTCCAAGAACGTATTTTCAAAATGCATGTTAGAGCTTTTTTTAAAAACTACAAAGACCTGTGCTTCCCAAAGAATACAACAAAAACATGACTTCTACAACAGTTCTGTGTGACCATGCTTTAAAAATACTTTACAATTAAGAATTATATGATTTTACACAAAGTCCTTTACATCGATAATGGATATATAGCGCCAATGAATAAAGTTAAAACCTTGCTCGGAGTAACTGCTTTTACTTCTGAAGAAAACTGAAGAAAAGGGACCACGCATTGTGAGACAGGAACAAACATACGCTGAAATGAAGTCAATAGAAAATACCCGCTAAAGCCTGAAGTTGGACACAGCTCTGGTTGGCCACTCGGGAGTTAAGTGACTGTACGGTAAGGGCAATACTTACCCAGGCTCCTCTTACCAGACACTGCCGGCAGCCCTCTCCCCAACCCCACTCAGGATCAGAGGACAGTAACTATGACCAGACCATCGCCGAGTTCAGCTCAGGTGAAGAAAAACTAGGGTCACACAGCCTAACACAGCGCTGCACCTCAAAATCAGCAGACGTTCAACACGCACTTAAAAAGGATGCCCGTTACAAAGCATACTATTTTCAAAGTTAAAGACGCCCCGTAACATAAAAAAATGGTTTCCACGCGTTGCAACGCGTCTACACCAGCAACTTACCTATTTCCAAAACAATAAAGACGATATTTAAGTTTTTCAGTCCGGCTTTTACATCTTTTATCAAGAAAAGAGCTTCGTTTGAGTTGTTTGACATATTGATGATCTGCAGTTTTTATATGTATAAAATACTATTTTAGCAGCATCGGGGTGTGAGAAACAGACGAGGTATAAACATATAGCTGGCTGTATTTACAACAAATTCAGTGCTCAGTTTGGCAACCTTTTCTTTTGAGTTAAAAAATGTTCTGAGGACCAAAAAAAAATCTTCCACTTGCAATACGTCTTAACAGCTGCAGTTTCGCTTTTAAATATGTAGATTCTATACTTCCTCTCTCTGATTAAGGTTACATGTTCAGTAAAAATACATAAAACCAGCATCCAAGCCTTTTAAAAGGACTACAGCCATCTTCGTTTAAAAATAGAAAACTTACTCTAATCGGCGTCTAAGATTCCGTTTTCGTACAAAAATATATATGTCCGATTATACTATCCCTACGCTATCAATGTAACAAGTAACAGTCGGGGTAAAGCCTTCGTTAAAGCACGGAGCTCCAATCTGGAAAAAAAAACCCTACTAGTTAGAATAACTTGTAATATCCCTGGTTGTTTGAGTCTCCGCTGTTTAACCTAGTACCTAGGTTCCGGGGCCTGGTTTGATTTCTCTGAAAACCCCATTTCTGTCTAGAAACGACGGCGGATTTAAATACCAATTGCGTCTTTGTGACCGGGTTAACTTTTTTACATTAATGTAACAGTGTGACACTGTGATATAATGGCTGTAAGGTCTTCTGAAAGTAATTCAAGTGTTATTTTTGCATAAGCCGTCGTCTAAGAGACCGTGCGATTTAATTATTCACTACAGTTGCTGATTTATTTTTAATTTTCTCAATTTTACACAGAATGCTTCACTCTAAACCTCACTTCCTCCACACAAAGCCCCCGAACTGCGCCAACGTGCGTTCCACCGGCTTTATAAACAAGGACCGACTATTCCATTCCACCTCGTTAAAGGGGGACTCGGGAGGGTAATTTATTTCTTAAAAATAAGTTATCAGTCGCAGTCTCCAAATTTCAGCAATGTTATAATTCAAATATAAAATGAGGAGAACTGTTATTGTTCATACAAAGATGAATTTCTCTACACCGAATACCACACAATATACACATTACCGCGCTACCTAAAGCCTAAGACTGGTAGGTTCTATGATCTGTTTCACTACAATGGCTTCCCAGGCGAAGTATCTGATTGGCCATTTAGAAACATGGCCGACCTCCGACATATATTTTTTTCTTGTAGTTAACAGGCTGCAGGGGTGTATTCTGCATTTTCCATTTGCCGGCTTTATGTCGTGTATTTAATTAATCGTTAATTAGTGTTCGGTGCATATTTTTTTTAATTATGTGCAACTGTTTTAGATTTCTGCGCGATTGAACAACTACGTGTCCCTCTTTTACTGGAAGTCCAACGTTAGGATCATGATGAATACGCTGCTTTCATTTCTGTAACTAGGAATGTTCCACTTTTCAGAGATACCAAAAACAATTTACTTCTTCGTTTAGCTATCTGTTTTATTAGTCACTGCAATTACAGCGGAGTGAATGGAATATGTTTTGAAACACATACACCCTGTATCAGGATCTGTTAGAAAGTAAAATTTTTAAAAGAAGAAATTGTTAAAATGGTTCAATGTGTACTGCAATGTTGAATCACATTACATCGGTTGCAAATTTTTAAATTTCCTCCGATTAATTAGTTTAAATGTGTTGTAAATTAAGGTAGACTTTACTACCTTTGAGACTTTACTGCTGATCTACTGCATTTCCCGCAGAATCTAACATCCTTTAGAATATCTGCAGCTCGTTTCAAAAATTATTTTTTTTCACCTCTATATTCAGGCTTACATTTATATAAAGCGACTTGAATTCAGACCAATTATCGAACCGGAAAAAAACAAATTCACTAACGACACGTAATCATTGCCTATGTCTCTTACGGACCATTTATTTCGTGTTCACGAAATTCCACAGGGGTGGTGAAATAAACGCAATAAGCACACTCTTCGTAGAAAAAAAAATCGTATTGCCCTGAATTTATATCATTTTACTTTATTTAATAAAGTTAAAAACCGTCACGAACAGGATTCGAACCTGTGCGGGGAAACCCCATTGGATTTCGAGTCCAACGCCTTAACCTCTCGGCCACCGTGACTTGAACAATCCGCTTCGCTTTGTTTTTATGTGCATAGGCGTCTTGGGTCGTTTTCATCATCTTACTTTTGTTTGGTTCATAAACTGGTAAAATAATGCTCATATTCCAGGTAAAGTCAGTCGCTTTTTGCCGAGTTTTAAAACGCTGTTCTCTGGAATATTTCCGCTTCGACCATAAAAAAAATCATGTACTTTCCCAGAACTATAAACAGAAAAGAACACAATCTTAAGAATCTCTTATATGTAATACTCAATAAAATTAATCAAGATAAAACAGTTGTCTGAATATGGAAAACGGTTAATATCCCAGCTGCACTGGCTACCCACGTGATTGAAAAAGCTACAGGAAACAGGAAAAAACAATCTGCGGATGTATACACGACGTCTGGTGTTTTGTTCGTTCGTATATAAGTTTTGTTTTTAGTTACGAATCTGAAATGATATTAATCCCCCCCTATATTTCATTTTGAAACATCAAGTTTTATGCTATTTGTCTAGGTGTGTCAGTTCTGAGTTCTGAGCGCTGGTGGAGTTCAAGGAAACGAGTTGCGAGATGGGCTGTCGTTTTTAATACAAAGCGGGTTGCAGGACACTTCTGATTTAAAAAAAACAAATCCCACGTCAACCAACCTGCATATAATCCATAGAAACTGAAACATATTGTAGAAAATTCCCAATGTAACGGGTATGCTAAAAAAATAAAATTTGAATGTATTCTCTCGCCTATACATTTATATTAAGCCTTGTTTGTATTTTAAATTTGAATGTAAAAAAATACAGTTGTACAGTTAATTAGGAATCGAATTTTTAAACTGAAGTCCTGAATGGACAAAAAAAAAAGCCAGAACAACCAAGCAGATAAATGTCATAAAAAAGCACTAGTGATTCAAGGCCCAGCTGGAACAAACATCACCAGACAGGTACTCCAGGACTGAGAATCACTGCCTTAGGTGATGCTGGTTGTGTCCTCTGCACTGTTATGATGCCATGAATTTGGTGTCTGTCATGGAAAAAAATAGTGCAATAAAAAAAAACATTCAATAGTTCTGTTCCAGATAGCATGAAGGCAGATCGGCAAATTGTTTCAGCCTTTTATCAATTACAGGTTCTTACACATCACTGATACAAAGGAGAAAAGAAAATATGACTTTTTTTTAAACAAAATGTGTACGCAAGGTTCCTCAAAATAGAATAACAAGCATGAAATATAAGTCATTAAAAGTTGGCTTGAATGCAGGAGCCTGCAACACGTAACCTGCAATGGGAGTTATTTCCACCCCTCACAACATCTAAGGGGAGTAATATCTCGCCTGTCAGTAGACAGAGGATGTTTTCTCTTCGAGCATCACATGTGCACTTTACGCTGCTCCCTCCAGTACTCCCCCACCCCTTGTGCCAGAGCATGCTCTGCAAGCCTCCTGCACTCTTCGGGGGTGAACCCCACCAATGCAGTGCCCAGTGTGCCCACTCTGTGCTGCATGGCCAGCTCTGCCACGCGGGCAGTGATAAGTGAGGCAGGAGGGTAGCAGTACGGCCGTCCTTGTATCCAGTATGAAGGCCAGCCCTCCTGGCCCTCCGGTGGTCGCAGCAGGCTCTCCACGTTGCAAGCAATCTCCACGGCACCCTCGTGTGGCAGAGCCATCACCTGCAGTCCTGGAACTCCACCTGGACTGGAGCCACGCAAGGCCTCCGCAACCTGGCGCCCCACGCCCACAGCACTTGTGCTGATCGTTACGTTACAGTTCATCACGTAGGGGCTGGCACCCACACCTGAAGGACGGAGAAGAGTGTGAGGACAGAGGCAGGAAGTGAGAAGAGAAAGGGGGTGTGAGCCGTGGAAAGGTGACAGATAACTGGAAGCCATTTGCCCTCTTCAGAATGCATGAAGGCAGGAAAAATAGCAGGAAAAGGCCGAAAGGGTGCTGGTGAGTCGATACAGTGTGTTTGAGAAAGGGGTACAAAAATGAATGAGAACATGGGAGGAGAGAAGGGCATCACATAACTGTGTTCAGTGTTGCAGTGAGAGTTTCGTCCCTGGAGAGTTACATGCCAGTCCTGACCTGTCAGCCCGTATCTCTTGCCTGGCATCGCCCCCACATCAGACTGCATGGCACGCAGGTCGGGGTTCTTTCGGAACCAGCCGAGCTCCTTCCTTCTCTGGACCAAACTGCGCTGCTGGGGTGTGTCGGCAAACCCAAAATGGAAGACACTGGTACCTGGAACACGCTCTGTCAGGCTCACTGCTACTGCTGCTCAAAGGCAGGGAAAATAAGGCAAGATGAATACACTGAGGACCTTACTAGTTCTGCAACTCGGGGAAACAGTGAAAGCTCTCATCCCCAGAGTATTATAGTTGCAAAATTTAAAAAAGGAAAATTTAGTAGACTCATTCAAGTCAAGAGTGCTACCTACATGTATACCAACACCAGTTTTAGCAACAAACTTATTTTTTCTCTCTGATGTCTTTTGTCTTACTAAATATTGCTTTTGTCATCTGATGAAATCAGGCTTCAAGACAGTATAGATGTGTAGTGTACCCACATTTGCCTTGGCTTGTCTTTTCTTATAGTGACTGCCCCTCCTGCACGGGGTCACCTGCTCCCCCACTCTGTTCCTGACGCCTCCCCCTTACCTCGTGCCTCCTGCCCACACTCCTCCAGCCCCACGCACTCCCCCAGCGGGTATATGGGCACCAGATCCACCGCCCCTAGACACGGGTGAGCCCCAGAATGCCGCCGCATGTCAATGAGCTCACAGGCCTGCACACAGGCAGATACTATTGCTCCACCTGATACAAATGACATGGAAAAACTCTTTCCCGTTAATGTTTAATGTTAAAAACACCTCAGATATCTAAAAAAGCCTTTACAGCCAATTTATCTACACCCTTTCTTTCAAAGAAAAAAACAAATTTGGGTTTCAAGTTTTCTTGAAACTATGCTTGGATGGCAGATTTTTTTTGTTCTATCAAAAAAGTGACATCTGTTTTGTGGTAGAATGTAGTTCATGAATGTGGCCTATTCTAATATTATGTTTGAGGCCATGTAATAGAAAACATTCTCCTAGTACACAACTTTCTTTCCAACAGACACAAGGTGTCCATTCCATTAAATATTAAAAAAGGCCACACGTACTCCCAGCCCATACCTCCTTTAAACAGACTGCTATGAAAGAAAATTATGTTCTTTAGAAACAGATACGCAGTAGAGTTGCGATTATTCGACCTAAACGGGACCGATTGAAAATTTCAGATAATGCGGAAACTAAGTAGATAGATCATAGATTAATGGAAGCACAGTACAAGTATGAAATCTGATTTATTCATCTACTTTAATACTAAAATAACAGACTACAGAACTATTGTTAGTGATTATTTTAAAAAATGAGTGATTGGAATCTGTTTCCCAGATGTGCTTCTCTTCCTTGCGGCAAGGCCTCGCCAGCGTCTGAGTAACATGCCATCAGTAGCAGTTGCCTCCTCTTGTTGTCCAGCGTAAGAAGTGCCGCTTCGAAAATAAAACCGAATTTTGGATAAGCGAAGGTCGGATAATCGTGTCTCTGCTGTAAAAATGATTTTCTTTTACAGCTCCCCCTGCTTGCAAGAAGAAGAAATTGGGAGTACGTGTGACCTTTTCCTCACATGGGCAGGGGCATCACTAGGCACCATCTGTGGGTAGTGCCTGCACGCATGTATCTGCACAAGTTCAGCAGCTATGACAGTTTTGTGGAGAGGAACCTGTCTGTGGCCCTGGAACACTCACTCAGCCACGTGGCCGTCTGGAAATGACAAAATAATTTATTCTTCGCAAATCATAAAATAATGACTAAATAATGTACTTATGTTTTTTGCTAGGCTTTAAATTGCCTTGGACCTCAGTATGGTTTACACCAAACTTGCTTTGTAAATGCATCTACACAGCACAGCTGTGACTCGGGTGTCGTACCGATTTGGTCAATGGTGGCGACGATGGTGATGACAGAGCGGTTGTAGTCATGGTCACTGAAGATGTTGAGCACCGTTATCCCCTCACGTCTCCCCCCTGAAAACACATGACAGACTATTAGCCTAGGTAACCACAAAGCCATTAACCCACATCCTGCTGGGCTCACATGCTTGGTCTGCCACATCATTGGTGAGAAGCTCACAGTCAAGTGCACTCCAGAACTCACGACCCAGCATCACATGGTGCGTCACCCCTAAGCATCACAGCCAATACACTACGGGTATCCAACTGACCAACAGAAGTAATAAATTCTAGTCATTTATTTAAAAAAGCATTGGTATATTTTAACTTGGGTGGCACAGTGGCATGGTGGTTCTCTTTGCTGCCTCACAGAGCTGAGGCTATGGGTTCAATTAAGGGAGCTGCTACCTGCATGGAGTTCGTACTGTATGTACATGGGATTCCTCCAGGAGCTCTGGTTTCCTCCCGCGGTCCAAAGACAAACTGGGAGGTCAACTGACTTCTGGGAAAATTGGCCCTGGAGTGAGTGCGTGCCCTACAATAGACTGGTTTCCTGTCCTGGATGTGTCCTGCCTTGCGCCTATTGCTTGCGGGGATAAGCTCCGACTTCCCGCGACTCCCCATGAAAGAATGGATATTTTAACTTTATGCACCAGATCTCCAAATAAGGAAATGAGGAAATAAAATAGTCTTCCAAAAAATCTCTTCAGTTCACTCCTTCACTGGACTGGGGCTTTCTAGGAGAACCTAAGTTTTTTTTTCACTAAGCTGACATTCTTGATGCGGGAAAACTCTTGAGCTCAGATTTAAAAAAAAAAAAACCTAATGTATTTTTACAGTATGTCTGTCTGTGGGTTCAGTCCTGCTCATGTGTACACGTGTGGGATTGTGACCTGTGTCACGTCTGCTCACCTTGCTTTTCATAGACAGCCGCTCTGGCCACCCTCTCCACTACCTCTTTGCTTCGTGCCTCTGAGATGTTCAGGAGACAGGCAGCCAGGCGTCGGCCCACCCCAGCAGCCATTACCCTATAAAAAAGCAGGGGTGAGGGAAATCACGTGCAGTAATAAATATACTTACTTGCGTAAACTCTTAACTTGTTTGGGAGCTACTTGTCGCATGTCAAGATGTTTTTTTGCACAGTTCAACACTGCTGTATGCAGAACTTCACTAATGTGCAAATCTAGAAACGTTTTACTACAATGGAAGTTGCAACGTTCTTCTTCGTTATGTATTTGTGTATTGTGTTTTTTATATTTTAGCATAATCGAATGTTACTACTATTGCAGACTCCGGTTATAATCATAAACCGCTCTATTTGTTATCCAATTACATTTAACAACGGTGTTCTACTTAAAACACTGTTAGAAAAAGACACTGTCGACTCCTACTGTATGTGTTCGGCTGAATTTGCCGACCGTAACACAACGTTACAATATTCAATATTTTAAAACAAAACATCGAAAATTAACTGAAAATGTCGTCGCGACTTAACAGGTCTTGCTATCAAAGTTTAAAGCACTGTTCATTCGTACAACCAGATCAATAAACTACACATAACACAAGGATTAGGCGAAGACCATTGACTGTTAACCTTCTAGTGTGCACTAACCCACTCCTGTAACCAGTAATATAAAAGCGTCTTACTTGCCATAGTATGATAAAGGATTTACAGTCACACTTGCTGAAACCTCAACGTAGCAAACTTTGTAACGTGTGATGTCACGGGCTCGAGTTGCTCTTACTCCGTGACAAACATTTTTTTCCCTTTTAGCGCCCCCTTATGAAACTGGTTGCTTAACGTAGAGAAGCGTTTTCTTATACTTTATGTGTATACATACTTCATTGATGTCATAAAAAAACTTCATTATGTAAAGTTGCGCGCCATTTCAAAAAAGGACAAGTAACAATTCAGACATCTTTATATGATTTATTATTATTATATGACTGATATTTATTAAGATTATATTTGAAGATAAGTTTATATGTTTTCCATACAGCAGGTGTCGCTATTCATTAAAAAATTCTCCCCCTCATAGGCTGGTAGAGGATGGGCCTTCTCAGTGGACGGGTGATATATGAAAGCACCGACATCTCTTAGCCCTGTTTCTCCGCCACATGTTCAGCATCCGAACCGCCGCCACTGCTCTCTCTCTCATTACCGTAGCCAGGAACATGAGCTCCGCTGCTGGCTTCTCCGAGACTGCGGGGCCGAGTCCACGTCAGGGCGACCCGGATGGCCAGTGCAGCCAGCAGCGTTGGTTTAGACTGCCCGCAGTCCCAGGCTTCGAGCCGCACCGGGTGAACGAGATGCTGCTTCTCCGCCCAACTGCAGTTCTGAGTCGGTGCAGCTCTGAGACGCATACCGCGGAAGATGCGAGCCAGCATGTTGTATTTTTCCCAGGGGATATACAGGTTTGGGATACCATATGGAATCCGTGACATGCTTCCTTGTCGTCGTCGGTGTCAGTTGCACTAGCAGGCATTACTACTGTATGTAGAAGCTGTTTATCTGATATGTAGTCTGTCTGCAGGTAGCATCTGTTAATCTAACTTTTATTGACGTATGAAATATTTGTGCGCATAAAGAGGTTGACGAAATGTTTGTAATGGAGGGCATAATATTTTTAAGACTTGTAGAGCTTTAAAGGGTGCGTCGTTTTTCAAATCATTTACGTCTCTGAATTTGTTTTATTGGTTATAAAAACTTAACAGGTAACAGGATATTTTTGTGTGCGTATTCACTATTTCGCTTCGATTTCCATTTTAATGAAAGGTCTCGTATAAATGCAAGGACGGTATTATTACTCCTTTCAAGACAGAATTCGTGTCTGGTAGACTGTTATAATCTGCCTGCGTGTGGTCTTTGATTAGATCTCTCCTCCCTCGTCTGAAGTCTGATCCTTTTTTATTGGCAACATAGACAGCCAGGAGACCCGTCAGCTAATGACATACGTTTTAAGTTGTTTACAGTGTGGAAGACAGTTTACAGCACTAAAACGATCATTTTAAAGCTGCAAGATTTATATAGGTTAGTAGAGAGTCAGACAAGCAGAAGAGCAGTAGGCCACTCATTATGTAGTACTTGCCTTATTCATAGTCTCATGGCACTATTAAAGTACTTAAAAGCAGGAAAACAATTAAGGGTTTGAATAATTTGCTATATAAGACACTAACAGACAGAACAAAGGTGGAAAGGACATCAATAACCCAGTACACATGGTGTGTTACGGGACTTAGTGCTGAATGAGTAATAGGGTCCCTGTCAGTGTTCCCAGAGTGTGTTAGTATTCTGTGGATGAGCTGAAGGCTGTGCCAGGAGCAGCCCCTGACTCGGTTCCCTGATGAATGGCCACATTGTCCTGGCATCTTCACTCTCCTCCTGCCAGGGATGCAGCATTGGAATACCAAAAGGGATAGGCTTGGTCTGTCTGAGGACCGCACTGCATGAGGGTAGAAGTGATGCACATGTTTTGTACCCGTGGACTGAAGTGCATGGAGGGTAGAGGTAACCCACTGGTTCTAGATCTATAGGTAGCAGTCTGTGAGCATAGAGGTAACCCAATGGTTCTAGATCAGCAGGCAGCACTGTGTGAGGGTAGAAATAGAGCACTAATTCTTTGTTTTAGGACAGCACTGCACAATGGCCAATTGAGTTGACAGTGCCATTGAGGATTTTGAATACTTGAATCGGGTCCCCTCATCATCTGCTCTGGTCAGATGTGGTCCTTCACCCCAACAGTTAAAGATCATTTAAATATTTAAGAATTTATTGGAATAAAAACTTGTAAAGGTTTGAATGGAAGAACCAAGGGTCACTATGAATGATCCCCTTTGTTTCTGCATATGTCTCTGTTTAGCTTGCTGATGAGCTGCAATTGGAAATAACCTTTCGGTGTAAACAAGGGGACCGAGCCTGCAACAGCAACGCACACAGCTATCCGATGAATCAATGCTGTATTTCCAATCAAAATGTAATCAAAAGGGACTAGACAACAACCCAAACTGACCCACCTGTGTCTCTTTTTTTCCCCCCACTTCCAGAACTTCCAGCAGGAGATGTCCAAGCACCAGGAGAATGGGCAGTGGCAACACTGGAGCCTGGAGAGAGTGGCATTGCTGCTGGGGCACCGCTTTCCTGGGCACCATGTGTGGGTAGTGCGAGCGGCGCGCATGTACCTGCACAAGTTCAGCTGCTATGACAACTTTGTGGAGAGCAACCTGTTTGGGGCCCCAGAGCACTCGCCTAACCATGGTGCCTTCCAGCACCTGAAGGGTCTTCTGAGCCATGCCATGGAACAAGCTGGCATCCTGTTGCACCACTGTCCCTCACAGAACTCTCGCCCGTTCGCAAATGGTTGTTCTGGCCCTAGCAATGTGACCTCTGTGTCGTGTCCTTTGCCACCCAACCTCTCGCTGTCGCTGGTAGGCTTCAGCAAGGGCTGCGTGGTTCTGAACCAGATGGTGTATGAGCTGGCAGGCGCCAAGGCTGACCCAGAGCTTGCAGCCTTCCTAGCAAGTATACGGGACATGTACTGGCTTGACGGGGGGCATCCAGGTGGCAGCGAGACATGGGTGACGGACAGGAAGGTCCTGCAGGCTTTGGCTTCCAGCGGTATCGGGCTGCATGCCCACGTCACGCCCTACGAAGTGCACGACCCCATGAGAGCCTGGGTGGGCCGGGAGCACCGGCGCTTTGTGCGGACACTGCAGGAGCTGGGGGCACCCCTGATCTGCAAACTCCACTTCGAGGATGAGCCCCCCTCGTTGGACAACCACTTCAGAGTCATTCAGGACTTCTGAAGGGCCTGGAAGCACTCTGAGCCACTCTGGATTCCATTTATCCTTCACTTTGAATACTCCGCATCTCAAACTGAGCTTCACGCTGAACCGTACCAGGGAGAACGTCTTTCTTTTTTTTGCTCAACATGCCATTGAAGATTTTGCCCTGTGAGACTGCAGCTCTCACTTGGCTCATCATTTGGAAAAAGCCTGAGGGCAGCCCCAGCGGCTGGACAACCAGATCAAATGTGGGCAGTTTGTGCTTTCCATGCAGAGCAGCAGATAGAGCTTGACTGCAAGAGTTTATGTTGATGCATATAGCAAAATTAAGTACTTTATTTTTCTAAATTGTGCAGAACTCTTTTTTTTTTTTACATCTTCACAGGGATGCCATGTATATGTACTATAAATGTGAAGAAAAAAATGAATCTGGCAACCTTTCTTCCAGAATTTGGGGAAGGTTATAAATACCTCATTATCTTTTTTTTTCCATTTAAGGAATCCTAAGGATCAGTGCTTTGGCCTCAAGTGGATAAGTGCTGTCCTGAGCTTACTTCCTGCTTCAAAGAGCTGTTTCTAGTTTTATGGATGACATGCCTGTTTTTCCTCCATGGTTGTTACCCATGTTAAGTTATTTGATATGGATAGATGTGCTTAAAAAATACAACCTTTTACAATGTAAATCCTTAAATTGTTCTAAGTGATGTAAAATGCACCTTACTTCCATCCTCTGACTAAGAGATGCAAACAACAGTTTCTCATACTGTATGTACTTGTACATCAGCCATGCTCTTCACAGGCAGCATGAGAGATATCTGCCAGCTGGTACTCAGCTTAAAGACTATCTGCTGACAGTCCCGGCAAATGAAACCTATCTAAGAGGAAAATTAAAGACTCTGCAAGATCCATACTGAATTATGTACCACACATCTGACTCCCTCCATCGAGCCAGCAGCGCTTGAAGGACTATCCCACCACACTTACAGAAGCTGAACCTGTGCTATCAGCCCCCCCAAAAGCATTTTTTCATGTGTAAAAATAAGAATTATTCAGTTTTTGATTTATTCTCAGCACACCAGTCTTGTGTATGTCTGGTTTTGCCTTTATTTTGTTGGGATGTTTTTTTAACCGAGAGATTTCTTAAGTTTAAAACAACACAGTTCCTTTACAATGTGGTGGACGTTCACTCCAGGCCTGTTGTATTGCTGGAGAAGAGGACCAGGCTGCCTTCTGTCAAAAAGCTCAGAGCCACTAAGATGAATCAGTGCCAGTGAAACGCACATCTATAGCTCTCCATCCATGCAGACGGTTCTAAAACTAATATTCACCTTGAACTCTTACATTTTTTCACCTGGCATTCACCTTAAAAAGCACAAGAAAAGATTTCTCTCCTCTATAAAAGGTGTAAATATTTGTAATGGAAGAAAGCTTGTTCTGTTTGGTTGTTTTGGGAAATGTTCTATGGTGATGAAAAGCATTAGTCACTGAGGGTTCTAATTGCTTTGCTGGAAATTTTACTTATTCAGCTGTTTATGACTTTACAAGCAATAGCATTTGCAATACATTGAAGTGAGGTCTTATGTAGAAGCCTTGACCACCCCCCCAAAAAAATGCTGTTGTGCCCCTGCCCCTTGCATTACCACAGCTCTGAACTAACAGAGGAGGTCAGGTGCAGTTTCCTAGAGACCTAAAAAGGTCAAGGATTGTTTACTAGTAATTCAGTGTGTACTTTATTCTTTTTGCTTTTTTGCATCGGTTTCTTCAGTGCAATAAGGAACATTGTTTACTTTGTATACTGTTTCCCTGGGCAGGTGGGGAAGCAGGGGGAGAGGAAAGTCTCTCAGTGTCATACAGATAAATATAGGGTATTTCTACAGCTGAGAATGAAAGCTTTTGGACCTCAAGTGAAGAGTACATATTCCTGGAGCTCACTGTTTGCACTGTGTATACTTTTATTTCAGACTCTCTATGTGTGATATACAGTATACTGTATATGCATTCACAGATATGCATACACGTACCGTATAAGAACATATTCTGGTAGCAATGGCATGTGTATTATAAACCAAAGTTTTAATTTTGAATGAAGTTACCAAAATACTGTATATAACGAATGTTGTTAGGATAGTCATTTTGGAAATGCAGTAGAACGTCCTGTTGTCTTCATGTCCATTCTGTGTTTTTAAGCATAGTCTACTTTGTTTTGCTGCTCCCAGCACTAATTTGTCTTTCATGACATTTCATTAATTTGAATCCATTTGGAGAATAGCTCCAAACCCTGTGTGGAGTTTGTATAGTTCTCCCCACATTCATGTGAGTTTCCTCCTGGTGCTGCAGTTACCTCCTACAGTCGAAAATATACTGGTAGTTATATTAGCTTCTGGGATAATTGGCCTTGGTGTGAGTGTGTGTTGTGTCTGCATGTGCCCTGGGTTAGTCTAGCGTCTGTCCAGGGTGTACCCAGCTGGCTCCAGCTCCCCTGTGACCCTTGGTTGGGATAAAGCAGTTAGAAAATGTCATGGAGTCTGATCCAGCATTTAATGGAGTTAAGCATCAAAGTTTCGCGTCTCAGCTGGAAAGCACCTTGCTAAAAAAAAGTTTCCTTGACTGTTTTTTTAAAGGTATATCAAGTGATTTTGTGGAAAAAATGTTGAAAGTGAGGTTTAAAGTTTTACTACACAGGAGTGATCCTAAATGCACAAGTGAAAAGTTCAATTCAGCAGTGGATTCAAGATGGAGTATTGGCTTCATAGTGCTGAGATAAAAAGATCTCAATTAAATATGTTTTGTCTCTGCTGTTCATAAGTCTTTTCAGAATTATTTCGGCTCAACTGTTTTTGTGTGGGTTGTGGGGGTTTCTGATGACAAAGATGGTTTTCAGAATTGAACTGGAGATGATCACATGTCTGTTTAAGGGTTACTAGACATTTGAGAAACCTGACATAAGTTTTTTTTTCTTAGAAATGAGGTGAAACCTTAGGCATTTCATGGTTGTCTGCCTTGAGCTGTTTTGAAGGAGAAGGTGATCCCCATTCCTGAGAGAAGCAACTCCACCAGGCAGGAGGCCACTGTGTGTTTAAGCTGTGAATGTTGTGAAATAATGCTCGCAGCAAGACTGTCTATGGAATGAATAAAAAACAAGTAGCAAAAAAAAAAATACAATGGAAATAAAAGCACAAGCCTTCCTGCGTTATAAATTGACTCCTGGCTTTGTAGATCTCGGGGTGGAACAGGAAAATGTGAAGCCTTATCTTCCCGCAGGTTGCAAAGCAAACTGGTTTTGTTTGAACTGTGCTGTACTTATTTTTAGTCTTGCCCCCATGTACAAAATGACATTTTGACATTTTGCCCGACATTTGTTCTTTCGCATACATATAAATAAGAAACTGTATAGTATCTGTGCATTTCTTAAATATACTATGCTGTTTTCATACAGTATATTAAAACATCTCATTATAGAGGGGTGTGAAAATTGGGTCTGTTGGATTAAAATTTACCTCAGTGATCACAGCACATGAGAGCGCTGTAGTAATGGGAAACTCACTTTTGAACAATAGGGATTTTTAAGGTACGAGCCATCGCCTGGATAGTGGGACAATATGCATATGGTCTTTTATCTGCTGTGATCAAGTTACAGGAAAACTACACCTGACAGAATGATGTCACCCCTTAGATATTTCAGGAAGAGAAAAAAAAGCATTCCTTTCTGCTAAGGTAATGTAGTGAGTGAAGGGCAGCATGGGTATTGCAAACAGGTCCATTGTTAGTAAAACTCTGCTCTCCTATTGTCCAGGGGAGGAGGAAGGGGGGGTCAGCCCCCTTCAAGGTGTAGTTCACACAGGGAGATGATGTGATCAGCTGTAAGTGGCAAATATATCTTTGTGTACTTTATAAAGTGTATAATAATGCATCTGCCTGCATCATAAATACATATTTACATAGTTATACTAAAAATATCAAGTGTGGCTCCACTGTGGCTTGATTATATTAATTTTTAGTTATATGAAATTGAGCTTGGCCACTCGTCTCCCCCCCCCGCTCAGTCTTCTGCACTGGTACTTTCCCTGCTTGCTGGAAAATTCTGGACAGTTTCCCCTATTTCTGTGAATTAGCAGGTACCTTCCTTAATTAAAAAAAAAACAACTTTAAAAAACATTCCAAACAGGTTTCCAAAATTACACTGCATTTTCTAGACTTCACTGTTCAGTACCTAAAGTGTAGTATTAATGCAGCAGTCTGTTGTCTCACTCTTGGTCCCACAGTTCATTGGAGGGCCAAGTGTGCCACTCTCTCTGTTCCCTTAATAAAGACACTTCACTCCTCCACACCGTTCAAACTACAAAGGTCTGAAGTGGGAAAGAAATCCAGAACAGTAAAGATATTTTTCATGGTTACACACTGAAACATATCACAGCTAAGATCATTTGAAGAGGCAGCATTAACTATAAAAGATGAGCATCAGAGTTGTGTCCCACGCATATTCAGATGTTGAAAAGGCTATCATAGTCATTGTTGCACTTAAAATATGACAGTACGGTTACTGCAGCCTATAGTTAAATGACACTTAAAACACCTTGAGCTGGTGCTCAGGGGTAAATTGGGCAGTATAAAACAAAAGCAGATGGTCTGATGAGGAAAAAAAAAACATTCAGCTGTCTAGTCTATTCTGTCATTTATGGCAATTTTTTTACACACAGCAGGAAGCCTGAACAGCTGTTAAAGAAGTTGATTTAATCTTAAAAGGCCTTTCTTGTTGTCATGATAAAATGTCACATTAGAAGCCAGTAACCCCATATGTACTGGCATATATACTGTATAGATAGCTTTTGTGCTTTTGTATTTTTATCAACTACTTATTATCCTTAGTGCACAGTATATAGAAACACAGATACAAGCCCCAAATGACTAGAGTCCCCTTGAAAAAAAAGCCACATTCCAACAGTAGGAGTTTCATTTTGTTTAATATTTTTTTCTTCCCTATTAATAACCTTTTTTCTGCCTAAATGCTTTTCAATTTGAATACAAGCAGATATAAAATTCATCTCTTACAAATCCAGTTTTAAAAATACAATTAACCCTTCATCTTAAAAAAAATCAAATTTCTAAAAAATACAATATAAATTATTATATTTCAAACAAATTATATTCTCTTACAATTAATAAATTACAGTTCATATACAAGTGTTCTCCAGACCTCTACTTTGCCTTGGGACAATGACCATTTTGAAGAAGTTATCAGCCTCAGTCATCACTTTGTACCACCAACCGGAGATAAAGCAATCCCATAAAGCAGCCTGCTGGCTGTTGTGCAAATACTATAATGTGCCATGTTGTCAAATTAGCTTTGCAGCAGCATCAGTGTTCAAGTTATATATCTACAGACTTGTATAGGTGCTCAGCCTTCAACATTATTCATACAGTAGCTCTACAGACTTCTCTGCTCCCTCCCCCATGTTCGATTGTGATTGCAAGGGGTAGACAACTAAAAAATAAACTTGTTTACTAGCACTATGTAGTAAACCGAGTGTTTCTCTTCTAAAAATCTGTGTCACACCTGAGCTGGGTGCTGTAGTCCAGTTTATGATGTATTTCAGTTACTGGTCTGCTATTTCCTTGCACTGCCTTCAGTTCAAATTCCCTTCAGAAAGAATTCCTAGTCTCATCGCATCATTTCCAAAAACCTTGCAGAATAAAGACTCCAGTCCTTGCCTCTCTTCTGTAATGGCTGCCCGCCCAAACGACTGCACAGCTCTTTCAGTTTGACATCCTGCTCTTCCTTCTTAAAAACACATCCTTCCTGTCTTCTCCGAGTACACAGGACACAATTTGCTATCCATGGTGCTCCTGTATACTGTACCGCAAGTGTGTCAGCTAAATTCAAACTCTACAGCTCTGCACTCTTGCTCAACAGTATACTAACACTAAAGGCAAGCAGGAGGTAGAATAGTCTCTCAACTACTGAATTCTGTTTTCTGCATTTGTAACCACAATCATCTGACAGAATACTATGCTATATTTGTAAAAGAGTAAGTATTTGCTGACTATTATGCCAAATAAGACTACATGCAGTTGTTACAAACATAGGCTTTAATATATCATCACTGCACTTCTGCCTTAATATTGAAATTTGAGGTCAATGATTCTACCATTTACTTTAAAAGCACCACAGTCCTCTATGCTTGACCAATAAAAACCTTTTCCTCCATGGCAAACATAAAATCAATCTAAGGAATGAAACTATCAAGAAACCAAGTGCAGCTCAGTCGTCTTCACTGGTGATGACATGGGGAGGAAGCAAACTGAAAAGGTTTAAGATTTTAAGAAGTTCACATTTCCCATGCAAAAGCCATTTGGTCAAGAAACCATTAATGGTCCAACAGATGTGATTCTCCATCCCCAAAGAATGTCTAGCTGGTTGGGGGTTCTGCACCATCCACTGTATCCCCTCCCCTCACCCACACATGGTATCTGCAACCCAGTTTTCACTCTTTTAAAACAACAGCAAATACAAATGAAATCATGAGTTTGAGCAGTACAGTACCTCAGACAGTCAAAATCTACAGTAGAAGGTTGCAGGAGAACACCAGTATAATATTGAGACAAGACCATGTCGCTAACACGCACATGCGCAAACAACACAATGTGTACTAGCACTGACTTTTTTTTGACAGAACAATTCAAAGTGTTTACTCTCAAAGTGATTTACATTTACTTCCATATAAATTAAAATATTTCATCCGGTTTCTCTTAACCTGCCAGAAAATACTGCAAGTTGCCCTCTCCACCTCTCAATATTCTGTCAAAATAAAAATCAATACAGGTAGCACCACATATACATCTTAGAGAATGGTGGCTCACTTTTCATTGAGAGTGAGCCCCTTGTTCCAGTCCAGCTGACCCAGGGGCGGAATAACAGTGCACTGTCCCCTACAGGGTTTCACATACAAGGCACTAGGAGGACATGAATTATACCCTTCCCTGCTACTTAATACGGGAACGCTCTCATCTCCCATTACTTTTTTAATGACATTGCAGTCTCCAGCTGGTCAGTTCCTATTACTACAGGTTGCTTGCCCTTCAGTATTTTGTTCTTACCTTTGCAAGATCTTACAGAGTTGGAAAAAAAAAAACCTGAATGAATTACATAAAACAGTTTGGTGTGCATGCTGGTTTGCATATCTTTGCAATCGCTGAACAAAATGCAGAAGAGACAGTTTCATTTTTACTTAGTGCAGCCCCTTTGACTTGTGTCGTAAGAAAACGCAACTTACAGGGTTCACAGAATACACCACCTTGAGAGAACAGACACAGCCACTACCACCCATGGAGTCTAGTTACACCACGCACAGCAAAAATGTTTTTTTTTTATGCAGGCCTCAATGACTATCTGCTTTTACTTTTCGTCAGCGGGCTGTCATTCCATGACGGACATACTGGTCCCCACCTACAAGAGAAGGATGTTGCTCAATTGCTGAGAAGCAATAATAATAAGTCTGAAAAATAAAACATACTTGTAATGTGGGTGGGGTATTTTAACTAAGAAATACATTAAAATTCCCACAAGAACACTGAATAGTCATTCTATTGCCTTTGACCTTTGTCCCCAGGAGCATTACACTGATACAAAATGAAACTAAAGTAATTATGGCACACGGGCTTTTTAAAATGTAATCGTGACAGCTGGTTCTTGTTAAGTTTTGTTTTTTCTTGCTCATGTTTTTTTAAAAAAAGCCTTCCTGAAAAAAAAAAATCATTCTGCATTTAGCTGCTTAAGAGAAATGTCATGCCAGCCTTTTGCACAAACATCCTTTTATATATAGTGAAATAATTACAGTTAACAGAACAGTCTTGCTGTGTGACTTCTTATGAGATCACTACAAAACGCTGGTTAACATGTTGGGTGTATGCGAGTATAACCACAATGATACTGGGATTCCAAGCATTTCTCATGGCCTACAGTTTCCCTGTATAAGGTATAATTAATAAGGTTTTATTAATATTATTAAGGTTTATTAATAAGGTTGTCACTGGCAAATGACAAGGCTTAATGTACTAAAGGTTCCATCGGGTAACTTGAACAAACTTGAACTTAAGGACTTTTTTAGACATCTCCTTTATATTTGTACTCGAAGCTGTAATTTGCTTGATCAATATATGCAAATAATTTTAAAAATCTATGAAAAGACTGATATTAATACATTTCTAGTAATTGTTTTGCTAATATAGTCAACAACCTAAAATAGTATACAGACTGTTTAACTCGATGCTGGCACCTTTTATTTCTAAAAAAGGATGTGCACTAATTAGACCATTCAGAATTGTATAATTTCAGCCCAATCCACTTCCTTTACCAATGAAGAAATGTTTTCAGGCTTGAGATAAAGCGATTGCCTCAATACAAACCCTGTGGAAGGCCAAAATAGATCGCATTTACCAACAGGGAAGTAAAATTCAGAAAACAAATTAACAACATTAATATATTCAGCACCAGCTTGGCTCCTACAGATTTTTCAGCAACAGGACTCTGCCAGACTACACTCTTGTCAGCAACTTTACTTACTACACAGGAAGAGCCCACAGCCCAGAAAAACTCTGGTATAGGAATCTGTTATGTAACCCTAACAATAAAAAGCAGTCAAGTTCACAGTCAGTACACTCTGGCCCTCCTACATACTTTCGCTTGTTATGCTATAGTTATCGAAATTGAAGGTGACGCATGACATTCTACAGTTTAATTAGTACGGTAATCAGAGCCACAGAATTTCCAAGAATTTCTCTCGACTGTTCTACCACATAAAGTTCAGATGCATACAGTAATCCATTTCGCTCCATATAATAATTAACATTCTTCAGTTCAAATGAACCAGTCCAAGGGCTATACTCACACACACCCTGTGTATAGACACACCCAGGTCTGCTATGCCAGGAACAGGAGAAATGGACAGATTTAGCTTCCCCATCTTCCAAAGTACAAGATACCACCAAGATTAAACCTGAGTCACAGCACAGCAGGCCCTGGGGGGACTTAGAGGAGGAAAGGGGTTCACGTCAAGTGAAAATACCCTGTAAGCCTCATAAAACTACATATTTTTTCATTGAAAAATAGTAAATATTTACAAAGTGATTATAAACCACTGCATGACGTGCACTGTGGCACACACTGTCCAGATGTTGGATCAGTGAAAGATTTGCCTTTTCAAATGTTAGGTCTGATCTTCTATAATGGTCAAATTGCCATCTAACCTAATTACTATGGCCCAATGTGTGCCGATCTGGCTACAGTAGAAAACAAGGGTTTTTCCATATAAAATGCATTTTACTGTTTTTTTTTTTTGTTCCACGGCACGGAACAATTAAAAAGCATCAACTTGACAAAGTCCTATACATTACAAACTGACAGACCCATATTTGTAGTTTCACTTGACAACATGTCGACGAGACACAGATAAAAAAATGCCCATTCATACATGCGGTCATGACTAATTTACATTGGAAATATCCACAAATTAAAACAGGACCAACAGGTTTTTAGACCCTACCGGGTTTCGTTAGCATTCATAGGAATGTTTGAACATCTACCAGTCCAGCTGATCCCTAAGAACGATCTTAGACAAGGTGTTTGCAGTTTTATCAGGTTAGTTTCACCAAGAGAACCGCAGGTTGTCAGACCTGTCAGACTGTCTTCTACATGGAAGAAAAAATGAACCACACAATTTTAATAAATGAGTCAAGAGCTATGGACTAATATTGATGAACATAAACAGAAAAAACTTAAATTATTGCATTCAAATAATTCCAACAAGAGCATTTCCAGTCAGACCTAAAACAAATATTCACACTGAAAAGTTGAACATAAAATTCTTTAAAATCTTATTTAAATCTTTGGGTACAGCTTTACACCTCCAAATACTGCAGGTGGAAGTGCTGATAGCTCAACATACTGTACAGAAACACCCATTATGTAGACATACAAAGAGAAAAGGAGGCACCCTCTACCTGCAGATATTCTCCTGAAAGGTCACAAATTGAATGTCTTTTGTCCAGGACAAACCTTTTTGACAAAAACAGAAACACTTTGACAATTTACCGGGCCAGCCCTCACTGTATGCTCTCTCCCAGCAGTGACTCATCAAAGCGGAACCTCTTCCCGAAAGAGGCCTCCAGAAAGTTCTTCTTGTCCTCGGGGTCATCCAGGGGAGTGGTGGCGCCCCACTTGCCGGCACTTCTCTCGCGGGGCCCACGGCTGGGCTGTGGGGTGGAAGGTTCTGAATCCGGGCTGCTCTGCCACAGCCAGGGATGGGTGAGGCACTCGGCTGCGCTGGGCCTGTCCCTGTTGAAAAATTGCTAGTTAACATCCAGGTCTCCACACACTAAGGCCTACTTAACTGTGGCTCTCAATTACCAGCCTATACCTCTCCATTAACACAGTGAAGTCCATTTGGGGCAGAGCAGTGGCACTAAGGATCTGCGCCTGTGGCTGGAAGGTTGCCGGTTCAAATCCTGTGGCCGGCAAGGGAATCCTGCTCTGTTGGGCCCCTGAGCAAAGCCCTTTACCCCAGCTTCTCCATGGGCACTGTATAAAAATGTCTGACCCTGCGCTCTGACCCCAAGCTTTACTCTCCCTGTCTGTGTACCTGTGTGTCTCATGGAGAGCAAGCTGGGAAAAGACAAATTCCTAATGCAAGAAATTGTATATGGCCAATAAAAGTGATCTTATCTTATCTTATTTTAAGCAATTAAGACTGACAACATGTATTGCACTAGACTGAATGCCACCATCGATTACAGGTCTTTGGCCTCGTTGTTAAATTTAAAGATCCAGGGCTGGCAAACAGTGTACTAAAAGGGATCTGAAAGAATCACTAGGAACACCAGAGTGTCCAGTTTGAGTCAGTGGAGGAAATGAAGAACAGTGTGATTCACTCATACCCACAAAATCCCCATTCCACCCCAAATGTTAGGTTTTATCTGCTTGGCATACAGGCCTACAAAAAACAACATGTTCTCTTAAGCACAGGTTCATTCATTGCTCAGCAAACAGAAATATTGCTGTTTCGTGTGTTTGCTCTCAATAGAACACTACTTTTAAAAATAGCCTGCTACATCAGCAGATTAAAACAAGGCTTGCAGAAATGGTGAATATTTTTAAGCTGAGTCAATACGAAGAAAAAACGTGACATAATGAAACTACAGTATGAACCCTTCCTGACATGCCTCCTTCTCACAGTCCAATTTAGCTCCAATAAGAAATTAACTGTTTCGATTCCCTGAAACTGCTTGCTCTCACAGTTTTAGCGAACAGTAAGGAAATGCTATAACCATCTTTTCCATCTAAGGGACTTTACACCATGATATTTTTATACCTCCAATGTTTGTTCCATACTGGTATAGTATGCTATCAGCACTGGAACACATGCTTAGTGCTCAGCGCTTAAAGACTTAACAGCTCATGACGTGACTGTTTGATATGGCCACAATGGGTCAAGAACGACAGGTTACATAGCTATTTACAGAACACAAGGGCAAACTGCTAGTCTGTTGTGTATTCAATTTGGGTATGATGTGTGACTCACCTTACTCATATTGTGTGTGTGTGTGTGTGTGTGTGTGAGTGAATCCACCTTGATTCTGTACATCAGGTCATAAGGCTGTACTCACTCTGGGGACTTGACCAGCAGTTTCTGGATGAAGTCGACAGCCAATTCAGACACGCCAGCGAAAGCTTCCTTGCAGTAATCCACATTGACCTGTGACACGTTGAGGAAGGTCTCCTGCTTGTCCTCTCCCTGGAACGGAGACTCTCCTGTCACCAACATGTAGGCGATCACGCCCACACTCCTGCATAAAGAACACGACACTGTCCTTAAGTCACAGGCCACCTATTAACACAATCTTTATAATAACATTATTTAGGTCTTCATTTTGTATTTTTATTAACTGTGTCAAAAATGTGCATTATGGATTCAGATTTCAAAAGACTTAAAAATCTATGAAGTTTTGCAGCAGCAATGCTACTGAAAGATACCATTCAGACCCTCAGTGTCAGTTGTAACCTATCATTCATAAATGGATAATTCAAGTCACAGGAAATGACTTCCTTCTCTGAATACACATGCTTTTGCTTACATTTGAAAACACAGATGTCTATTATGTGGCATGACATTGGCTCTAAAGAGGAGTTTGGTTGCTTCACAAGAGAGAAAATCAGCTTACCACAAGTCTGTTGCGGTTGTGATGGGCTCATAATTCAATATTTCTGGGGCTGAAACAAAAGGAAAGGCCTTCTCGTTATAAAGAAAGGGCTACATCTTCCCTGACATAAACAGATAGCAGACTGGAAAATAAAATCCTCAGTACTTTGTAAAGATTCCACACAGTGTAAGACTTCTTTTCTTCTTTCAAGATGCATATTAATCAAAGAGAAACTGATTATCCTACTATATCTGGACCAGAAGAAGGGGCTTTACACTCAAGAACACATCTCATTAGTGGTGTACTTTATAGAAAATGAAAAAGCACCTAAACAGTGAATAACTTTTCTTATTACAATGTTTTTTATTGGCACTCTTGACACCTCTGCGTATACCTCAGTTTTCTTTTTGGCAAGCACTGCAGGTGACACAAGCTCTCTGGTTTCAAGGCATTTAACTGACTAAATCTCACAACTTTCTATGTGCCTGAGGAGGCATGAATCTCAAAGAGGCAGAAATAAGGAAAGAACTACAGTCTGCAAACAAAGTAAAAAGTACAGCCATTTTCTTCCCCATCATGCTTGGCTTAATGATGCTTTTTCATTTTTTTTATATATTGCCTAACAAAAGGGCTCAAATCTAAAACTTTGACCATTTTTAACTACTAATGAACACTTTACATATCAAACTGTTTATCATCACCATTTCTGTATACCAATAAGCAATTTCAGTGGCATTACAGCAGTGTGCACAGCTTCCTCAGGAAATCTCTAAAGAGCAGTTCCTCTTTCTGTGAAAAGAGGGCTGGCTTACCAGCCAGAGGGAGATCTATACCCATATACTGTAGCGGTTTCAACACTTTTGCAACATAGTGTGAAAGCAGTGACGACATTTCTTATACCCAAAATCTTAATTAAGAACTTGTAATACAAAAAAACTAAGAAAGTCAATAGATAGAGAAACGTTTCCTGAAAAGGATAGTCCACTTTCGCATGCCCCTATCTGCTGGCAGACAGCAGGTTCCTCATTCTACCACCTTTCTTATTAGATATTAGACATTCTGGAATGTAGCCCATTACTAGACTTGTAAAGTTTAAGTCATTGTCACGACAGAGTGCTGCGCAAAACCTTTTAAGGTACATTTAAGCTTTCTGTGACTGACTTGCTTCTACAAACCAGCAGGTCTCTCCATGCTCTTACCCACATACTCCGGTGTACCCAGGATCTCCCTCAGCTCTCCTGTGGTTCCCAGGCGCCTGGCCAGACCAAAGTCCACAATCTTAATATCGCCTAGCGGGTTGAGGCTAGTTAGCAAGATGTTCTGGGGCTGTGAGGAGCGATGGGAAATGACAAAAGATGCAAGTTGAACACAAGCACAGTTTCATATCTAAAATATTTTTGGTCTGGCAGATTAGTGACCTTGAGACAATAGAGAGAAAAAAGTGAAGATTTTTTCCATGCTTTGGTGTGATGAAGCTGTACAACCCTGATATAAACCACTATATTTATTTACAATTCATTTTAACAGTGAAGCCATTTAATGAGTATTTTTTGTTCCAAAAAATAAGTGCATATATACCTGCTTTTATGGGTTTAAAAATAATTTATGTGTCATTTTAAAATAAACAACACAGAAGAGTCTTAAATTCAACACGAACTAGCACAGGTTTGATAATGATCAGGTGCTGGTTGAATAGAAATTGGGAGAAAGACGTTCTCTCATGATCTTTCAAGAGGATAGGTGTATTCGGTCACCTTGAGGTCCAGGTGTACAAGGCTGCTCTGATGCAAGAGGTGGACACCCTCCAGGGTCTGTCTGAGCAGTCGAGTGATCTGACGCTCTGACAGAATCTCCTCCGAGACACAGTGGTCGAATATCTCTCCTCCTGCTGCACTGCAAGACACATACCAGCACAGAATGAGCTCAAACAGTACAGGCACTCCAGAACACGCATGAACCTTTATAGGATCACTGGCTCATATTATAGCAGCCTGTAATGTGCATGTTGCACGAAAGTTTGGCTACAACATTTTATCCAAAGGATATTTTTCAATTAAATCAGCTAACCTATCAAAGTCAACATGGGGCAATAATAAGCCGAAATATGCAATTACCCCACAAACTACATTCAAATGATTTGAATAAATACCTAATAACAGACAGAACCTACTCTAAATGTACACCAAAGGTTGTAGAACAAACACTTAAGAGGGTAAAGTTTGTTTTGCACAGGAGGACTAAAAGTCATCCAGTAACACACACATGGGGTGTTCAAAAGCTCAGAAACATGCTAGGGCCACTGGATCTTACAAAAAAAAAAACTCATCATTTGGCGGCCTCTCCTGTATGGCCTATATGTGTCAGTTAGACTGGGTTTGTGACTAAGGGTGTGTTAGGATTAGGACTTCTCTTCCTCCGGGAAAATTGTGTACGTGTCCCAGGCACCTCAGAATCCCTGTGAGTCAGTATCTCAGCCATGACTCAGGAGTCTCTGTCCTCTTAATATAAAGTGCCTCTCTTGGACAAGCCCACAACGATTAGAAGGACTGGTTCAAGTTTCCTTGTATGAACTTTTACTCTACAATGTCCAGCTGAAAACATATTTACATGCTACACGGCATTTGCAATCAGCATTATGGCTCCAGTTGCTTACCTATAATAATAACTTCTAACTGCCCAGCAATGTGAGGCATTTCAGATTACACAAGCAACAAGACTACACCTGGTTCAGGATACTTCAGGCTTGTTGCCTTGTGTTGCATAAACTGACAGACACTGAATTGAAATAATATTAATGTTTTTCCTACGGTGCTTCCTTAGTACAGCATACTGTATATGAGAGGTGTGTAAACCATAAATTAAATCAAGGTCTTATGCAACTGGAGACCTTTTTCCAGCACTGTTTTAAGATTCAGCAGCAGTTGGCAAGGGCAGACTTTCGATATGGATATAGAGAGACCTCCACCCATGTATTCTGATAATCTTAAACTCCTTCTCAATTATAGCGCTGTTAGGGTTCAGCCTGCACAAACTGGATTGATTAGATATCTAGTTATAAAAACATGTGCATTGCACAACAAGATCTCCGTGCTAAATGATTGAGCAATGCACCTCTCCCCTGTTCTTGTTCCAACCTCGGGGCTCCACCCACTGTTCCTATGGCAACCTGCATAACAAACAGGCCTGCACACACTGCCTGTCACACGCCTCAACACCTCACCTCACCACAGAGAGAAGAGGGGGAGAAAGGGCAGAAAAGGTGAAAGGATGGGGGAAAGGTGGGAAAGTCAAGGTAAGTGACAGAAAGAAAAAAAGCAAACAACATCACAGAAGAGTAGGTAAAGAAAGACTGAAGAACAGAGGGGACTGGAGACAAAACCAGATGCTCTGTGGTGAAAACTGACTATCTGCTATCTGAGATTGAAATCAAGCCACTTAAAATAAAGAGAAGCAAACAAAAGATGCATTTATGGTTTTCCTTTCGTAGCTCTTATCTTGATGACTTTGGAGGTGGTTTCTGTTTGGTTTGAATAGGACTGGTTTTAGCATGCTCCTGCAGACGATTCCTTCTTTCTGGGACAGAAGGTAAAGGTGAAAGAGTAAGAAAATGCAGAAGTGGCTATTCCACAGAGGTGTACATTTTACATTGAAAGAGAATAAAAAAAACTGTATGGCAAAAGGCAAAAAATAATTAGAAAACACATGTTCAGATATATATTCAACTGTGCTTAGAGGTGTCTGTACATTTATGTGACGTTTATTTCATTTTGCGTTTTTATTTTCTCTCTAAGGGACCAAAATCTTTGGGTCAGAATAAAACGGCACAGCGTACACCTGGGTCCAAGGCGGCATGCTGCAGTCCTGCTGTGCATTTTGTATATTTTGAAGATTCTCTAAATTTGATTTTTTTTACTAACAGGTGTTTGTTTCTATTCCTTGCCCCTTGCATGTACTGTAGGCAGATATTTTTGAAAACTGAAAATTACTTCAGGGGATGAAGAGTAACCGAGCCAGTCTTTTCCCACACCCCTCTTGCTGAAGATGAAGAATGTGATTCTCTCAAGGACATGCAGAAAAAGGGTGCAATGCAAGTAACAGGAAAACATATATAGAAGATTTTACAATATTGCAATATTTGTAGATGGGTCATTTTCACTTATGAAAGACCTTCCTGGAATGTAGATGGAGAGGCGGTTTGAGATCAGGC